TCTGTAGCAGAGTGTCTGACCTTTTTTTCCCCTGGCAGCTGTTAAAGATTTGCCAAGTGAGATTATGTGTACCTTTATAAAAAGGCATGTGGCCTGGAAATATGATCTTTAGTGTTTCGGCTTTTATTTTAAATTTTAAATAAGGTTAAGGCAAATGAAGCTGGAATTAATTATCTGTCCCTGAAGTTTCAAGAAATTTTCACTTTCAGACACAAGGATTTAGATATAACAGTTTGATTTACCTTTCATAGACCAGGTATACGTGTATTTTCTTTATTTTAATCCTTGTAACAAATCATACTCATTCATTCATTTAACAAATATTTATTGAGAGCCTACTGTGTGCCAGGCAGCGTTCTAGGTATTGAGGAGTGCAGCAGTACAAAAAGCATACAAAAGCCCCTGCCCTCGTACAGTTTAATTTCTGATGAGAAGAGAGACAACGCAACGAATGTGCAAAATATATACAATCATATATATATTGGGGATTAGTTCCAGGACCCACATGGATACCAAAATCTGCAGATGCCCAAGTCTCATATAAAAGAGCATACATAATGTTCACATATAAGCTACACATATCTTCCTTTATACTTTAAATCATCTCTAGATTATCTAATACAAAGCAAATCTATGCAAATAGCTGTTATACTGTATTTTTAAAATTTATATTATTTTATAAGTTTTTAAAAATATCTTCCACCCATAGTTGGTTGAATCCATGGATGTGGAACTCACAGATAGAGAGTGCTGACTGTAGTGTGTTAGATGATGATAAGTGCTAGGAGAAAAATATATCAAGAAAGGGGGATAGGGAGTTTGGGAGGGGTTGCAATTTTAAATAGAGTGATGGGGGAAAATTCACCCAGAAGATTGTACTTGAGCAAAGACCTGAAGGAGGAGGGGAGCAAGCCTTGAGGCAATCTGGGAGAAACATAGGCAAAGGAAATCCCAATTGTAAAGGCCCTGAGATGGGTGGCATGCTTGGCAGTTTCTAAGGAAGGTGAGGAGGCCGGTGTGGCTGGAGAGTGAGCAGGAGGGAGAGAGGTCATGGAGAATCCAGACCGTATAATGCCTTGTAGGCCATCATCTGAACTGACTTTTTCTCTCAGTGTGACAAGGAGAATTTTAAATGGAAGAGGGACATGATGTTGCTTAAATTTTAAAATTTTTGTATAGTTTTATTGAGGTATGGTTGGAATATAATAGATTGTGTGTGACTGTGATAATGAACATGAAGATAATGAACAGATCTGTAACTCTCAGAAGTTTCCTCCTGACTATCTATAATCCATTCTTTGCTTCTCATTGGGCGACTACTAATCTGCAGTCTGTCACTATAGATTAGTTAGCATTTTCTAAAATTTTATATAAATGGAATTGGATCAACTAAACAATTTGTCCTTGTGAGTCCCACCAGTGAATTTTTTTTTTTTTTTTTTTGAGACAGAGTCTGGCTCTGTCTCCCAGGCTGGAGTGCAGTGGTGTGATCTCGGCTTATTGCAAGCTCTGCCTCCTGGGTTCACGCCATTCTCCTGTCTCAGCCTCCCAAGTAGCTGGGACTACAGGCACCCGCCACCATGCCTGGCTAATTTTTTTTTTTTTTTTTTTTTTGGTATTTTTAGTAGTCAGGGTTTCACTGTGTTAGCCAGGATGGTCTCGATCTCCTGACCTCGTGGTCTGCCCTCCTCGGCCTCCCAAAGTGCTGGGATTACAGGCGTGAGCCACTGCGCCCGGCCGTCCGCCCGTGAAATTTCTTAATTGTGGTGGGTCAAATTCAAATTTTATTTTTTTAGTGGTTCTACTTTTGAGAAAATTTTTATTTCACCTCTCCCAATGGATAGATGTTTATTTCAAGATACATTGCAACCTATTGTCAACACCTCAAACCTGCCAGTCATTGATTTCTTGAAGGAGTGTAATTTGTTATCTATGCCTCCTAAATGTTCCTCGTATCACCAGCCCTTACTGTGGGTGATACAATGCCAGTACAAAGACAGCTATTCATGGAAATTTGTTCACTGCAGTTGCCAATCATCATGAGTCTCTCTTTGAAAGGAATATTTTTTCACAAAATCAGCATTTCCCTGAATAAGTGGCTTCATCTTCCCTTGTTATGGTCTATGGAAGTCACAGTGAGAGCAACTACTGCTATTACTGGAATTTCAGTCCATACTATGGTCAGTGTCCACAATTTCTGTCACGAAGTATGCAAGCATTACTTTGAACTACATCCGATACATCTTAGTGGTTTAGGTCATTACTTGCAAATCAGTGAGTCCTGTTTTAGCCACGAAATCAAGTGTCACTATATCCATGCTCTGGAGAGAGAAATAATGGGCTTTTGGTATGGTGGATACATCCATCAGCCAGTTATTAGTTATTTGGAAATTATTGGTGACTGTTTTGCCCAAACCTTGCCACCTATTTTGCAATGCCTAGTTGAGTACAGTTCATATCACCTCTTGGCATACATACCCAAAACATCTAGTGCTGTTGAAATAAATGCAAAGCAAAGTGCAAGCCCATGAGAGGAATTTGTCACAATGTGTTGGACTCGTATTTGGTCAAATTTATGTGTTGTGATTGACTTGGAAATAATGTTTTCAATTCCTTTTAGTGCATGTGTCAGAACAATTTCCTGTTAAGTAACATTATGTTTGACTTATGTTTTTAGTATATTTTAGTATAACTATTCAGGGACAAATTTTTTGATTGAATACATGTGAGAGGCAAATTGTTCAACTCATCCATGAAATCATACAACATACTCTTTTTTGTTTGGCATCTTGCTTTCAGTATAATTATTTGTGAGATTCACCCATTGTGTGAATCAATTTTTCATTCCTTGTTATTGCTGAGTAGAATTCAATTATATGGATATACTGTGATTTGTTTGTGGCTCATCTGTTGGTGCATATTTTAGGTGGTTTGTAGTTTCGGGTTTTCACAGATAATTAAAAGCATATAATTGGGTCCTGCTGTTTCATCTAGTCTGACAATCTCTGCCTTAATTGACTATGTACTTAGAACATTTATATTTAATATGATTATTGGTATTATTGGGTTTAAATCTGTTACTTGTTTTCTAATTGGCCCAACTGTGCTTGTTCTTTCTTCTTTTTCTGGCACAGTCATTGGCTCACTGCAGCCTTGACCCCCTGGAGTCAAGCAGTCCTCCTGCCTCAGTCACCCAAGTAGCTAGGACTATAGGCGTGTGCCAACATGCCCAGCTAATTTTTTTAATTTTTATTTTCTGTACAGATTTGAGGAAGGAAAGGGTGTATTGGAGGTTTAAGGAGAAAATGTGATTAGTTGTCTTGGAGAGTGAGCAAGCACATTAGTCTGGTAAATGTGCTAAGATTGTCAGGCAGTAGTGAGGCCCCACTTGATGTTCATCACTGTAAATATAAAGATACATCAGCCAGCATGATTCTGGGTTTTTCTTCAGTCACTGTAAGTTCCCAGGTGCAGTTGCAAAATAGATGGAAAGCTTAGTTGTAAAGGGTTGGGATTTCACCGGGACTTTGGTGTCCTTGAGAGGTAGCAACGTTTCACTTGGAGCTAGAATTTAAAGCAGACACTCAGGAGAAATTGGGGATATAGGCAGTTTGCTGATGACATACTGAGTTCGAGGAGGCAAAGTATAAGCTTTTCTCAAAGGTTCAGAGTAGTGGGAAACTGTCAAGAGAGTGGGAGGCTTGGCATTCCATGGTGACTGAGGTAGTTAGGGGTATGGGCATGATTGGATTCCTCCTGATGGCTTCTTAGGGGAAAATGGTTATTTCTAATGACAATCTCTTTCTTGAGATTAATCTCATTCCTTCTGTTAGCCCTACTGAGTCTGACTGTGGCCTTCCCTATAGCTTCTATAACCTACTTCTTTTTCTGTCATTCTCCCCTCCTGTCATCTGCTCTTGACTTCTTTGCTAGTTCTTGAGCATCCCAAATTTGTTCTTGTCTCAGTGCCTTTACCTTTACTTTTCTGTCTGCCTCTCAGCTCTACTTTTGTCTGAGTCCTTCATATCATTCAGTTCTCTCATCAGATTTCACTTCCCTAGTTAGCACTCCCACACCAGTCTCTGATTTCCTTTCTCCTTTTCTCTCCCTCCCTCCTTGCTTTCCTCTCTCTCTCTCTCTCTTTTCCTCTCTCTCCCTCTCTCCCCTCCTTGTTCCTCCCTCTTTTGTTCTTTCTTTCTCTTCCTTTTCCCACAGCACTATTCACTCCAGTTATGAGGATAGAGACTGTTCTTTTGTTCCCTAGTGCTTCCCTCCTAAAACACTGCCTAGTGTACAGTAGATGTTCAGTAAATATTTGGATGAATATAAATGGAAAACTTCCCTAATGCCTTCAAAAGATAGGCTGATTTTCAAATAAATTGATACAGACTTTTCAGTAATAGATGTGCGTGAAATGGCTTTTCATTACCATCTGGTTTTCTCCAACCAGAAGAAAAAGCTTTAGGCATTAACATGTTGTGGAAAGCCAGTATTATAGAAGAAACCCAGGCCTGTTCTGACATATATTCTGAAATGAGAATATTACTTAATTCATGGACTAAGCAGTTCTCAAAATAATTTCATAGATTAAGTTAATAGTTTTGGGGGGGTTCTTAGAGAATCTGAGAATACTTTGACTTGTGCTTTTTATTTTGTAAATCAATTTGCAGTGGTCATCCTTCATTAGATACTGTTTAAAACATAGTTGTTGCCCGTAGGGAGCTCCTCATGTTTGCTTGGGAAGCCAAACTAAACATTGGAGAAGCACAGTGGCAATGCAAGATGAAAGTCAAGGCAGTGACAAAAGTTATTCCAAGGTGGAACACTGTGCTTTGTGGAATCTAACTGGTGCCGACTGTAATTGCTGACCCAGTTCAGTTTAAAGAACTATACTGTGCAGCCCGTGAAATGGTGTCACTCTTTTGTTCCTTAAAAACCACTCAAGGTCTCTGAGCCCATGGTGTGGCCCTATTATAACTCACATTTTGTTTTCATTGCAGTTGTCGGACAAGTAACCGCAAGAGCTTGATTGTGACCTCTAGCACATCACCTACACTACCACGGCCACACTCACCACTCCATGGCCACACAGGTGAGTGCATGAAGGTTAAGAAAGGTTGAATGAAAGAGTGGCCACAGATGCCGAGTTTCTTTCCTACTTCTCATGTTGTGCAGTTCAGTACATTACATTGTCACTTTACTTGGTTGACTGAAGCATACAGAGCTCATGGGCTTGCTTTCTGTGTGAGAATGAGTTAGCCTACTTTTGACTCTTAATTGTTTCTTACCTTGTTCTCTCAACATTCCTTTCAGTCTTGTACATATCTTGGGGCTAGGTATGTGTCCTGGGTTTATGGCCTCTGTTTTGGTGTGTTCTGGTGTGTTATGGCTCCATTCGTCTTGGGCCATTTGATGAGGAGTCCATGAATATTTTGTACTACTGTGCCCGAGGATTAGGGCTCACAGAGAGGGTTTTTTGTCTAATGGGACTCCTGTTAACCTTCCTGCTCTTAGATTAGGAGATAACAAAAGCAAGAGGAATATGTGTTTGTTTGTTTGTTTTTAAATAGAAATGAGGTCTCTCTATGTTGTCCAGGCTGATCTTGAAATCCTAGGCTCGAGTGATCCTCCTACCTTGACCTCCAAAGTACTGGGAGTATAGGTGTGAGCCACCGCACACGGATTGGAGTATTTGTTTCCTAACAATACTGATATTACATATTGGAATTAAAGCAAATGACCTCATGGATTCAGGCTGCTCTATCCCGGGAATATGGGCTCTTCCCAACAGTGTAAGGACTGACTTACGTGACTCTGAAGAATATATAAAAATTATGAGGCAGCCGGGCACAGTGGTTCCCACCTGTAATCCCAGCATTTTGGGAGGCTGAGATGGGCCAATTGCTTGAGCTTAGGAGTTTGAGACCAACCTGGGCAGCATGGCAAAACCCCATCTCTACAAAAAATACACAACTTAGCCAGGCCTGGTGGTGTATGCGTGTAGTTCCAGCTACTTGGGAGGCTGAGGTGGGAGGATCGCCTGATCACCTGAGCCCATGGAGGTTGAAATCATACCACTGCATTCCAGCCTGGGCAGCAACAGAATGAGACCCCATCTCAAAAAGAAAAAAAAAAATAGGAGGCTTGCATTGATTCTGGCATTCTGGCCTTCCCAGGAGAGGGACAGAAGAAAGACCTCATTGGAGTCAGCCATGTGCTTCTGTGTAGAAGGTATATTCTGGCATCCCAGGGAAACCAGACCAAGGGACTCAGCTTTGCTGAAAGGGCTGCTGCACTTCTGTGCAGGTCATTGCTACACTATTTATAATGGAAGTTCTAAACCTACAGTTAGTGGAAATTGACAGGCTTAGAACTGTTCAGAGCTTGCTGCCTGGGCATAGAAAGTCATGGTCACTGTTGTCCTAAGCCTGGACCTTGTCTGTCTTTGGGCATTAAAGCAGGATATCAAAGCAGTGAAACGAGTCAGCATCATGCTGAGTAAGATGAGTTTATTCTCCATGGATTTGTTTCCTTGCTCACAGTTTACTGTCTTTGGAGGGAGAAAGTGAGGGTACATGTGGAGTATTTGAGGGCCCTGAGAGTCTGGTGATTCTGAAACTCAACTTTGTCCTTGGGAGAAGGATCTCACCTTCTTTGGCTCAGATTCTTTTAGCCTAGAAGCCAGCCTTTTAGTGTGATGATGGCCCTTTTCCAAGAATCAGTAAATTTCTCAATCACTAGCTGTCACTTTAGAAGATACCACCAAGAGAACAGGGATCCCAGGGAATTGGAGACATACTTGACCTTTAAAGCAAAGCTCTCATTGTGCTTAGGTGCTTTCCCCCCAAAAAAATTGACTGAGATTAGCTGGATTAGCTCAAATAGCACATCCTAGATTTTTAGAGAAACTCAGCGTACATCTATCTGACCTGACCTTTTTATCATATAGAAATAAATTTAACATGTCTAGACCTTGTATATAGTTGCACAACTGTAATGTGAGTACTGAGCACTAGTTACTACTGGCTGCTCTTCTCTGAGATGATTATCTCTCTATTTAGATTCCCCACAGTTAGCATTTAGAACTAAATCTTCCCTACTCAAATGGCTTTGATTGAGAACACCACCTGACCTTTTCAGCCTGCCTGGATCTGTAGACTCCAGCTTTGAGTTAATGTGTGTAACATGCTTAGTACTTTACAAATGTTAGCATCTGTATTATCTCTTAGCAAATCACTGCAGAAGATCTAGGGGGCAAGAATGGACATAAAAGCCCAATTTGTGACTGTAGGCTGTACTTACCCAGCTGTTGAGACAGGCAGCACTGATTGTTCCACGCATATCCCACTTGACATTAGATTGTATCCTCAAATCTTATACATTCTGAAATTTACATCCACAGGATATTCCATGACCCTTTACCATCACTTTTAAGTTTTGAATCTATTGAATAGTATGAGGCCTGTTAATTTGAAAGTGGGTTCATTTATTCCATACAGTTCAATTCAGTATTAAATATCTACTACATAAGTAGATTACAGTGTCAGTAATGTCAGTTCAGTAGGTACACACCAAGCCACTCTGGAAATGGAAACTTCCTACTTTTTTTTTTTTTTTAATTAATAAACTTTATTTCTTAGAGTAGTTTTAGGTTCACAGCAAAATTGAGGAAGATACTGAGATAAACCATATACCCTCTGCCCTCACCTTTGTATAAGCTCCCCATTATCAGGTCCCTACCAGAGTGCTGCATTTGTTACAGTTGATGAGCCTGCACTGACACATCACCCAGGCACTACTAGTTTACATTAAGGTTCACTGTTAGTGCTATACATTTTGGGTGTTTGGGCAACATTATCATGATACCTATTTACCATTATAGTATCATACAGAGTCTTTTCATTGCCTAAAAATTACTGTGCTCTGCCTATTTATTTCTTTCGCCCCTTAACTCCTGGCATCCAGTAATCTTTTTACTGTCTCCACAGTTTTGCCTTTTCCAGAATGTCACATAGTTGGAATCATACAGCAGCCTTTTCAGATTGGCTTCTTTCACTTAGTAATACATACTCAGGTTTCCTCCATGTCTTTTCATGGCTTGATAGCTCATTTCTTTCTAGCACTGAATAGTATCCTGTTGTCTGGTTATACCACAGTTTATTTTTATCCACTCACCTACTGAAGGACATCTTGGTTGCTTCTAAAGTTTTGGCAGTTGTGAAAAAGCTGCTATAAACATCTGTGTATAGGTTTTTGGGTAGACATTAATTTTTAACTTATTTGGGTAAATAAGGAGCACAATTGCTATATTGAATGGTAACAGTATATTTGATTTTGTAAAAAACAAACAAACGAACAAAAATTCTTCAAGTTGGGTGTGGTGGTTCACACCTGTAATCCCACACTTTGGGAGGCCAAGGCGGGCAGATCACTTAAAGTCAGGAGTTCGAGACAAGCCCGGCCATCATGGTAAAACGTTATCTCTACTAAAAATACAAAATTAGCCTGACATGGTGGTGTGCATCTGTAATCCCAGGTACTTGCGAGGCTGAGGCAGGAGAATCACTTGAACCTGGGAGGCGGAGGTTGCAGTGAGCCAAGATTGTGCCACTGCACTCCAGCCTGGGCAAAAGAAGGAGACTCTGTCTCATTAAAAGAAAAACTCCCAAACTGCCTTCCAAAGGGATGGTACCATTTTACATTCCCACCAGCAGTAAATGAGTAGCTCCTGTTGTGTCATATCCTTGCCAGCATTTGGTGGTGTCAGTGTGTGGATTTGGGTCTTTTTTTTTTTTTTTTTTTTAAAGGCAGGATCTCACGCTGTCATTTAGGCTGGAGTATGGTGGCACAATCACAGCTCAATACAGCCTTGAGCTCTCAGGCTCCCAGATTTTGGCCATTCTAATCTATGTGTAGTGCTATCTCATTTAATTTTCAATTCCTGGTGGAGCACGATGGCTTACACTTGTAATCCCAGCACTTTGGGGAGGCCTAGGCAGGCTTTGCTTTTTTTTTTTTGAGAGAGAGTCTAGCTCTATCACCCAGGCTGGAGTGCAGTGGTGCAATCTCAGGTCACTGCAACCTCCACCTCCCGGGTTCAAGCGATTCTCCTGCGTCATCCTCCCAAGTAGCTGGGACTACAGGCGTGTGCCACCATGCCCAGCTGATTCTGTATTTTTAGTAGAGATGACGTTTCATGTTGGCCAGGCTGGTCTTGAACTCCTGACCTCAAGTGATCTGCCCGCCTCAGCCTCCCAAAGTGCTGGGATTACAGGCATGAGTCACTGCACCTGGCCTTGCATATAACTTTTGACTGCCCCGAAACTTAACTGCTAATAGCCTTCTGTTGACAGAAGCCTTACTGATAACATAGTTGATTAACATGTAATTTGTATGTTTTGTGTATTATATACGATACTCTTATAACAAAATAAGCTAGAGAAAAGAAAATGTTATTAAGAAAATCACTGGAAGAGAAAATATACTTACTATTCATTAATTGGAAGTGGATCATCATAAAGGTCTTCGTCCTCATCATCTTCACATTGAGTAGGCTGAGGACAATTAAGGATTAGTCTTGTTATCTCAGGAGTGGCAGAGGCACAAGAGGTGGAGGAGGTGGAAACGGATGCAGGAGGGGCAGGCACATTCTGTAACTTTTACTGAAAAAATTTATGTATAAGTGAACCCATACGGTTCAAACCTGTGTTGTTCAAAGGTCCACTGTAATCCAAATCAACCTTCTAATACCACTTTGCCTTATGACAGCAAAATATACCTAACTCCTCTCTTCAGTACCTTGTAATTTTGCTGTCATTCATTTCACTTATATATAAGCACGTGTGTATGTGTATGTATAATGTATGTAAAAGCATACCTAATCACATACATTGTTGCTGTTACAGGTTAAGCACCCCTAGTCCAAAAATCCGAAATCCAAAATGCAAAACTTTTTAATTACCAACATGAACCTCTCAGGAAATGCTTGTTGGAGTCTTTTAGATTTTGGGCTTTCAGATTTGGGATATTCAGCTGGTTGGTATAGTACAAATATTTCAAAATCAGGAAAAAATTTGAAATTTAAAACACTTC